GCTCGACCTATTCCTCTCCAGCGCCGGTCTCCATTGGAGTTCCTCAAGGCTCAGTCTTGGGGCCACTCCTGTTTCTGATCTACGTCAACGACCTCCCAGACGTTCTTGCGAGCCCATTTTTACTTTTTGCGGACGACTTGAAATCTTGGAGTTCCAATGCCAGCGCCCTCCAAGTGGATGTAGACGCTGCGAAGCAGTGGTCGTTGGACTGGCACCTTCCCCTGAATGGTGAAAAGTGCGTCCATGTGTCGTTTGGAGGGGATTCAGCGAATGCCTTTGTTATGCATGGTGAAAAGGGACCAGAAAACATCATGAGGATAGATGCCAAAAAAGATTTAGGCATCTGGGTCTCCTCAAACTTGTCCTTCGCACTGCATCATGAGAAATCGGCGCAAAAGGCATTCGCCGTTTTACGGATGGTCCGACGTACCTTCTCCGTATTACTCGCATGGACTTCCAATTACTCTATGGGGCCTACGTCAGACCGCTCCTGGAGTACGCCAACTAAGTTGTCTACTCAGGACGTACGAAAGACGTTACCCTCATTGAGCGTGTCCAGCGGGCCGCCACGAGAATGGTTGCCGGCCTCAAGTCCGTGGACTACGAAACGCGTCTCGCGATGCTTGATCTCTTTCCCCTGGAGTACCGTCGCCTCCGAGGGGACCTAATTCTTACTTACGCCCTGTTTGAACAAAGCTTGGCAAACCGGTTTTTTACCGTTGACCCAGCAAACACCCGGCGAGGACATAGTAAGAAAATTTTCAAGCTACAGCTCTGCAAGTCAATGTGAGCCATTTGCATCATGGAGCCCCAAAACTATGTGTTAGTTTACAATTTTTTTAACAGACGGGGGGCCAGTTTTTTTTCATTTCTTTCATTTTTTATCGTTTGTATCTGTAGCTCTGCCAATTAAATGACGTAACCGCAATGGGCCCGCCCAACAGCAACAAAGAGAGAACAACAGTGCTCTTTTATGAATTTCCTGACTTGAAGGCTAGACACAGAGCGATGCATGAGCGATGCACCTGTGTATTGGGGAGGTGGCGGATATACGAACGCACCTAGGTGCAGCGCAACAGGGCGACTCTCCCTGCAGGGCGCACCCTACCACCACACGAGGCTTTCATCCCTCGTGCATGCTACCAGATCTGCGAGGTTGCATGCCACCAAGCAGTCATAAGTGTGGCTTGTGCAATAATAAAGAACTCCATCTACTGAATACTTCATGCGGTGGGTAGAAATCTAGGCAGCAAAACAGCTTAAGCAGTTTGAACGGGCGAACGACTAACAGCCGGTGGAAAAGGTGGGTCGCGGAGGCAAATGAGGAGACAGCTACCATTGGGACCGTTAATAATAATAATAATAATAATAATAATAATAGGGTTTATTCCCAACTTGTGGGTGGCAAACCGTCTTGCATGATCATGGTTTTACAGTCAGAATGGAGCATGACTAGTGGGTTTGTGGGGGTTCGGATTGCACAAAAAGAGGACAATGTGATAAGCAGTATTGAATACCCGATGATACAGTAATAATAGTTTATTTCCCAACTTGTTGGGAAAATCGGCATGAAATCTGACTAGTTCAAAGACAGTCATGTGGCATGAACTAAAACTGAAAACCATCGCTGGCCATGAGTGACCTTGGGCGGTTAGGTAAATGGCCGGAGTCACAACTAGCAAAAGTGGAGATGGAGATGTGATAATGCAGAT